TGGTGTCCAGCAGGGCTGGGGTGCCCTGGTTGCACTGCTGACAGGACTGGGGTTGGCAGCACAGAACTCTGTGGGGTGTTCTGGCTGCTCAGTCCTGGCATTGCTGCTCTTCCTCTCCCCGTGTTCAGCGCCAGGGCAGAGCAGAGTGCTCCCTGCTGTCCCTGCCCTGCCCTGGTGGCTCTGGGGTGGTGCCACAGGGACCTGTCTCCTCCCCATTCCTGGCTGGAAGCCCCAGTGAGGGGCAGCTGCTGCAGCCTGGGAGTGCCAGGATGGTTTAGGGGGAAGGGACCTTCAACCTCACCCAGTGCCAGCCCTGCCATGGCAGGGGCACCTCCCACTGTCCCAGTGCTCCCAGCCCCAGTGTCCAGCCTGGCCCTGGGCAGAGCTAAAGGACAAAGCAGGGATTTATTAAAAGGATCTCCTCCATGGGTCCACCTTGGGCAGCACCAGAGCCCAGCCAGGGCTGCACCCAAATGACCCAAAATGGTCCCAAAATGCACGAGTGCTCCCGGGGCTCTCCCTGGGATCAGTTCTGCTCCATTGGAGCTCATTGTCCCATTCCAGCTTCAGCCCATCAGTCCCATCCTTGTTTTTCTCTCTTTATTCCACGTTGTTTGTGCTCCTGGGCTGAGATTTGGATCATTTGTCCTTGGTGCCCAGCTGGAGCAGGAATTGTTTTGTCTCCCTGCTCTGTGCAGAGAGCTCACCATCATCATGAAGCCCAGACCCACAGACCAAAGCAGCACAGAATGTGAAAAATACAAAATCCAAAGCCTGAGGCATCATGGGCACCTTGTGCCAGGGCCTGCCCGCCCTCCCAGCCAGCATCCCAGTATCCCATCCATCCCAGCCCTTCCTCCCTGTGTGCTCCTACTCCATCCCATGGAAATTCTCTCTCCATCTTTCCTGTTCTCCCCTCGAGGCCCTGCAGGGCCACACTGAGGTCACCCCAGAGCTTCCCTTCTCCAGGAGAACAATCCCAGCTCTCCCAGCCTTGTGTCCAGCAGAGCTGCTCCGTCCCTCTGATCACCTTGGTGCCTCCTCTGGACTTGCTCCACAGGTCACTCCTCCCTGACTGTTCCATGGGAAACATCTGGAGGCAGCTGTGGAGCACAGCTGGCTCCTCCTGGAGAACCTGCCAAGGGCTTTTCACTTCTCAGGGAGGTGTTGCACAAGGTGGTGCTGGACAAGGCTCAGGGATTCATCCCAGTTTGTGGGATGAGCTGATAGCTGGAGCTGGTCAAGGCTTCCTGCATTTTTTTCTGGAGGGGATCGTTTGTTGTTCTGTTGGGCTTCTTGGTGGTGCTTTGTTTTGTTTTTAAGGCCCTGGGGATTATCACAGCTCCTTCCCTGTTCCCAGGCTGTGGCCAGGGATGAATTTCCAAGGCAGAGACAGAGCTGAGGCGAGGGCTGCTCTGTCACAACTGTAAAATGCCTTTGCAGAGGTTTCTGAAGGCCAGGTTAGGTGGTGGCCACAGCTCTGGGGGCTGAGGCACTGTCTGGTGTCCTCCCAGCAAGTGACAGGGCTCCGTGTCTGCTGCCAGGGAATTACCTTGGCACTGCTTCCAGGGAAACAGGCTCCTGGCTGAGCAGGGCTTGGCACAGACCCTGTCACATGTGCATGGAGAAGGGCACTTTGCTTCACTCCTCACTCACACACATCCCCAATCAGCTGCAGCTCTTGCATGTATTTTTCCTGATTTTTTTTTTTCCCAAGTTTTTCCTGGAGATTTCTGTTCTGGGGGCAGCTCTGGGCCCCTCCTG